TGGCATCATTATTTAGAAGGTGCCTCAAATCTAATCATAATATATACAGATTACAAGAATTTCAAGTATTTCATATCAGCACGTGTTTTAAATCATCACCAAGCTTGTTAGAGCATGTCTTTATGAAGATTTGATTTCAAGATCACTTATTGACTCAAAAAATAAAAAGGTTTATTAGACATCCTTTCTAAATATTCTTATCTTGTACTAAAAGAAGGAGATGCATCTTTTGATCAATAAACAACAATTTTCTTGAAGCTAAAATGTTTTTACCTTTGAGCAATAAAATCAACATTAACTATTGATTCAATGTTTTTTAAGCAAATTCAATCAAGTATGTCCTTTGATCCTCTTATCTATAATATCAAGAATAATTCTTTTAAATCTCATGATATTTCTAAGTTTGAGTTTAGGAACAATCTATTCTATTTCAAATGACGATTATATATTCCAAAAGGTAGGACACAATCACGTGTTCTTTAAACTCGTCATAACTTTTTAATAGCCAGATATTTTGTATATTATAAGACTTTGCGACTAATATCGAGAGATTTTTGGTGACCTCAAATGTGGAAGGCAATCAAAGACTTTGTAAAATCATGTGATATGTCTTCAAGATCTAAAATTCTTTGCCATCGACTTTATGGACTTCTTTAATAATTATGGTCTTCCATTTCTAAATATTCTTATCTTGTACTAAAAGACCTATTCCAAAATAATTATGGTCTTCCGTTTCTATGGATTTTATTATGAATCTTTCAATCTCAAGTTTATATGATTCTATATTTATGGTAGTAAATTATTTTATCAAAATGACTCATTTTGTACCATGTACAAAATATGTTATAAATAAAAAAATGGCTAAGCTTTTTTTTAATAACATTTCTTGCTATCACAGATTCCTTAAAGATATTATATTGGATAGGGGGACTCAATTTATATTAAGATTTTTGAAAAAACTTTTTAAGATTTTAAAGGTGGATATAAAGCTCTCTTAGTATTTTTATCCCCAAACTGATCAACAAATAAAATGAGTGAATTAAGTTTTGGAACAAAACTTGAGGTGTACCATCAACTATCATTAAGATGATTGGACAACTCTTTTATCATTAGTAGAGTTTGCATACAATAATTTTGTACATTCTTCCATTTAAGAAACACCTTTCTTTGTCAACTATGGTTATCATCTACAACTTCATACTTTTGACTTTTCAAAAGTTGATAATCTTGTAATGGAAGATTTTACAAATCATTTGTCAAAGCTATATGCAATAATAAAGGCACAATTAAAGGGAGCTTAAAAACAAAAAAAATTAATGCAAATACCTATTGTGAAGAATAATCATAATTCAACATAGGTGATAAGGTGTAATTACTTCATCACAATATCAAGACTACTCGTCTTAGTAAAAAATTAGACTATCATAGGCTTGGACCTTTTTTTATTAGCAAATAAGTCAATCTTGTTGCTTATTGATTATATCTATCAGAATCTATGAAAATCCACCTCATATTTCATGTATCTTTTTTTGAGCCATATTAAATAGTGAATATCTTGGGAAGAAGATAAATGCCACTTCTTCCTATAAAAGTACATAATAATTAAAAGTTTGAGGTGGAAGAAGTCTTAGATTTAAGGCGGTACCAAAATAAATTAGAATATCTTGTTTATTGGCATGGATATGATATTAGTGAATGTACATGAGAGCTAATAAAAAATCTTGCAAATGCAGCAAAGAGAGTTGAAGTTTTTCATTGACGACATCTATCAAAACCAAGATGAAGAATAATAAATCTTCGATATAAAAAAAACAAGATCAAAAGAAGATAATATTCTACCTTCTATTTGTCTTTGTAGTTTTTGTGTATTTGTAATGCTAAAGAGATGGAGAACCAACAACCAGCACATTCAATTCAAGAGCTTTCATTTGCGGATATACCAAATGAGACATTACAATAGTCACAACCTTCAAGATGATAAAATTGAGATGAAGATCCTCAAGAACAATATGTCCCTCTTTGAATAAATGGTGAGATACAATGTATTTAGTATCACGACCTTAGAAGAGACTTTCAATGTTTGGTGATTTTATTAGAGATAGAAACAACTCCTGACGGTATTTCAAATATTTTATTTGAAGGAAGTTATGAAGGCCTAAACAACAATCAAATAACAAGGTGGTCATTTTGCCCTGGTATGAGACACTATCGATAGCTAAGAAAACCTATCAACCATCTTCAAAGAGAATAAAGATCACAGTATGTGGCAAATATAATTTGTCACATCTTAGATTTTTTCAACATATAAGGACTACTCCTCATGGAACTTGTCTCTAGAAGGAGAGATAATATCATGAATATACATAGATATTTTAATAAATATCTATATGATTACATAGAAGTAGGTAAAAGTAAGTTAATTTAATAATACCTTCTAGAGAAGCTTCTTAGAAGCTTTATAGATGCTGCTTTGACTTTATATGTATTTATAATTGATTGGTAGGTTAGAAACTTGGTCAGTAAGTTAATCATGTATTGATAGCTTGTAAAATAAGCTAACTATGTGGCACACACATAGAAAACTTGTCTTACAAGTTAAAATACATGTCTTGCAAAGTCAACACATTTTGAAGGTCTTATAGGACATTGCCACATAGCTCGTAGTTAAGAGTATATATAGAAGCAAGAGTGAAGCCTTCTTCACTCTTATCAATGCCTTTCTAGTCCTTAGTCTTATTTCAAGTCTTTTTAAACTTCTTGTTTTTGACTGTAGCCATTTTAGTTTAATATTATATCATCTGGGAGTAAATTTCTAGTTTCTTTCAGTGATACAAGAGTGTATTGAGGATTTTCTTTCTTCGAGATTCATGTCCTTGACAGATGGTGGGTGGATCAAAACAATGGCTATTAGAATTGATTTAACATTCCTATATATATATATATATATATATATATATATTATATGATTTTCTTTTATTTTTTAAAATTTTATAAAAATGATGTAGAATACTGGAAATATAAATATATTATTTGAATTCCTTTGATAAATGAACTTTGCAACTTGTGATATAATCAATAGATTATATGTAATTTTTGAAATTAAATCCCTCATCATTTTATTAGATATAAAACCAATTTCATGGCATATTAATAAATACTATAAGAAACTAGTTACAAGAATAAGTAGAAAGCAAAGCAAATATTTGTATGTTTTATTTATTTTTTACTGTGATAATATTTTTTTTTATATTCTTTTATCTTTTTGCATTACTGAAACACTAAATCATACAAAAACATAATCATTAAATTTTGGATTCTATTTGTTGCTTTTGTCTCATCACTCAAAAACTTGCATATTTTTCAACATACAATTAGTACTATTTTTTATATATATGAAATATTTTAATATCACATTTAAGTTTAACAATCCCATTAAAATTTTTTACTTTTTTTTTCAACATATGAATATTCCATGATATGAAGGGTGTAAATTACAATAATATTTTGCCAAGTTGCATGATGTTCAAGTATCTCAAAGCAAAAAAATGTGATGATGGTGACAAGTATTATTTTTATTACATGTTATAATATTCATTCCAATTTTTTTTTAAAATGAAGGTCCTTGCAATTATGTCGTATCACATAAAATTCTTTTTCCTAAGTTTTGACTTTGAAATAACATGTATTTACTTTACTACATTATCTTTTCAAAGAGCTAGGCATACAAATACACAATCACCCATGTTTTATCTTCATTACTTTTTGCACTTTCAATCTAGTTTACTACAAAAGAGACTGATGTGACTGTTTGCAAGCCTTCAATTAAGAGATATCGAGTCAGATCTACATTGTTTTATTATTATTATTATTATTATTATTCAATTCAAAATTATTTTTAAGCCCATGTGATTAAAAAAAAAAAAAATGGATTATCATCAGTCAAATGAAAAAGGTCCTCATAAACCTCGGATTGCTATGTTGCTAGTGTGGCACACAAAGCAATCCATTCCCTCCCTTTGTAAGTATGATAGAAGCCCATATTAACCCATGCCGAAGATATGATTGAGATTTATGAATCATACCACAAAGACACACACAAGAGCCTACAGCCATGGGGCTTCATTCAACCCGTGGCCGTGACTAGAAAGGAAAAATAACGACGCCAGCGTGGCGGCTACCGAAGGGTTCAAGGAATCCCAGGACTCAATCGAAGTCCTTAAAAGGGGACCAGCCAATCAGAGAGAGAGAGCCCGCTTAGGAGTGGATGACTGTGGGAAAAAGGGACGAAGAAGAAGAAGCAGACAAAGAGAGGGGAAGAAGAAGAAGCAGACAAAGAGAGGGGAAGAAGAAGAAGAAGAAGGAGGGGAAATTGTTGTAATTTCTTCTTCACCTACCCGACGTCATGCCACGCTGGGCGGCATTCTGACACCGGACTGCTAACGTACGTTACTGCGCAAGGCTTTGCTGAGCGTCAAGGCAGGAGCAGCAGCCAGGAGAAAAGGCAAGGAAGCAGAGCCGTGAGTCTACGAAAGCAGGGTTGATTTGGTGGATCTGGTGCTGGTGGATCGCTCGGTGGTTGCAGGTTTGGCTCCACCTTGTATTGAATGAAGCCTTCGATCAGTGACGCATGTAGCGCTTCTGTTCAATAGCGATTCAGGCCTTCACGCTTTGCGTGTGTCGCATGTAAAGGTATTAGACTGGTACTACTGAGACATCTTGGGAAGAAATAAATCTCAGTGTTGGTGAAGGAAGGGAAGAAGTCATCTATCGCGAGGTTAACTTCGAAGATCACGACTTTGTTGTGAACGCAGTGGTAGGTTTGTGCGAGGAATTGCAGTGGTATTGTTTAGTTGCGGTTTGGCGATTAGCTGATGCGGTTTTGAAATTTGCGAAGGGGAGGGAGGGGGGACAGGGCCGGGCGGTGCGGGGGTGGGGCGGGCGAAGAAGGTTTATAGGTAGGGTGGCGTGACAAGACAGAACGTAGATAGGGCTTTCACGAGGCTTTTGTGACGGGAGGCTTTCTTCATGAAGCGTTTTGACCTGAGCTTGAGCTCGTTGATGGTTTTTGTTGCTTGGGGTTTGGTGCTAGGTTAACTGAGAAAGAGGAGCAACAGATGTAGTTTAGAATAGAAAGATGAATAGAAATAAATGTAGTGTCGTGGATTTTAAGTTTTTCTTTCGTGCGGAGATCATTTGTTTGTGTTATTTAGATGATTGTGTCTCGGAATTGTGTGGCAGCTGTAATGTGTTTCCTGGTTTGAGGTTTCGTTCTTGTTTTGCGACGCTGCGGGCTATTTTTGTTTAGACTTGGATGTAATTTTGATGCGTTGGGTTTCAATGTAGGTAGGGCGTGGTTACTTTCTGGACGCTCCTTAGTGCATTTGAGCTTTCTCTCTTTTCTTTGTTGAATAATTCTTTGGACAAGTGTGAAGCTATGTAGGGGTTTAAGAGCGATTTTGTTACGTGTTTTTTCATCCCCCCTTCTTTTCATATAATTATAAACATAAATACAATTTGTCCCTGAGCTTCCTATCATGAGACTTGACTTCAATTTTGTCAGGGTTGCCCTTAGTGTCATGGCTTCTCTGTTCCCAGACCGCGTCATTGCAGGGTATACTTAGTTTCCTGTGCAGTGCCTCCATTGTAGATTTGAAAAACATCACAGCTTCCTTGGTTTTAACTGTTGAGTTTTCTATAGTAGCATGTCTGATTTTTGGGGCCACAATCATAGCTTCTTTATTCTCTGACATGCTGGACAATTGTGACGCCTTCGTCTTGTACGCATAGAAGATGGCGAGTTTGTACGTCCATCACTCTGATGATGATATTCTATCAGTTATTACAGTGTAATCTCAACACTGCTCGATGTTGTTTTGGTTGTCATTCGCGTCGCATATAATATCTGAGTTGCTTACCTTCAATTCCTCTTTGTTTTCAGTGCTGCAGGGGTGTTATATGTGGTGTTCCTGTGATTTAATCTACGGATGAAGCAAACGAGATGGTGTATACTTGTCTCTTCTGCCGTCCACAAAACTTGAGGAGCCTGTCAATTGCATAACCTCTTTTTATCGAGGTCGCGGAAGTGGCGCGGGAATCCGATTAATGCTTCGCGCTTCGTGTCTTCACTAGGTCTCTCTCCTAACTCCCTACAGCTGCAATCTCTCCACAATCACTTTCAAAGTCAAATAGTTGTTTCCAATGGATGTCAAAATTGCATCCTTCCGAGCATAGAGTTCCTCATTCAATTTTTCTCGTGATAAAATTGTGTCACCAACTTCACATGTGGCAATTATTAATGGTTTGTTCATGGTCAGCATGGCAGTTTTTATATTAGCTTCCTAAGTTGGCATCAGAGAGGAACAGGAAAGTGAGAGATTTCTCCACCATGTAACTGATTGTCTTAGCTAAGCTTGGCAATTATTAAGTCAGGTTCTCACAAACTACTTGTTCAAGATTATGTAGAAGTATGTGTTGATTGGTTAAACCTGCACGGATGGGTCGCCATCCTTAAGGGATGTATGAGGTACTTAAATTAAAAGGATTACTGTTATGAACCAGACTCGAATGTGAATTCCATAGACGATACCTGAGCTTCTGAATTGCCGATGGCTTGTCTCGGATGGGTGCAGGTAGGTGTAGCCTCAATTATGGCGACACCTCAGCTTTCCCGTGTTCTGCAACGGCCATCTCCATTTCCAAGGAAGTAAGTTTATCACCATCTTTGACCGCAATCATAGCAGAGTCTCTCTCTCAGGGAGTGATGCATTGAAATGATACCTTGAATGCGAGGCATGGCTGATTCGTGTAGGGATTATCTTTACCCCAGGAAAGCTTTGGTGGTGGCTGCCGCTGTGTTGGCGGCGGGAGGTGGTCTAGCATATTTTCGAACTGGGCAACGTAGACCTCATCGTGATTCCTCTCCAGCATTGAATGGAAACGGAACAAATAAAAGTTCTGGAGTTATTGCAAGTGCAGCTAAGGATCAAAGCCAAATGAATAAGCGAAAACAGGGAGGAATAAAGAATGTCAAGTTTTTGGCTGGAATATTACTGAACCACATTGGCAAAGGGGGATTGAATGAATTTTTAGCCTTGGCGACCATCTCAGTAAGTTCCAGCATTTCCACAAGCGTGTATCGTAGGACGTTGTTTACTGTGACTAATAAGAGCATTGGAGTAGTACACATTGTCCTTACGCCAATCTTGTTCTGGAGAGAATTTTAAATTCAGCGAGTAAAATGTACCGTACTTTTCTGTGGAAAGGCTCTCCACTCTGAGCCACTGCCATGCCATCGTTGAGTCAAACATCTCCTCAAATTTGTAAATCACTCCTTGACTTAACCTCTAACTAACATATCTGACATTACTATCTTTTTCCCTAGGACTATTTTAGAGACGGAAAAGTTCGTGTGATTCACCTTGCTCCTCCAGTACCTCTAAAGAATCTTAATTGAATGATTCAACTTCAGAAAGTGCTAGTGTTTGCATGTGATGCGTGTCACACGAATCAAAGTGTATTACTTGATTGACATGTGTGGAAATTATTTCTTACTGGAATTGAATTGGGCGCAGGTTCTCAGAACAGCTTTAAGCAACAGGTTAGCGAAAGTACAGGGATGGCTATTTCGTGCTGCATTTTTGACAAGAGCTCCTCTTTTTATGAAACTCATTACGGAGAACCTGATTCTCTGCTTTCTTCAGTCTGCGTTTTTGTCCACCACAAAATTTCTCACCGGTGCTTTGAGTTTGCGTTTTCGCAAGATTCTTACCAATCGCATTCATTCAGACTACTTTCAGGTATATCTGACATGTTGAGGTGGGATCCGTTAAATAAAGTAGTTCGTAAGGGGTTAGTATCTCAAACAACATGGTAACAATTGCATAGTCGAAGCTGTCACATTTTTGTCAAATTTACTGTGTATCATTTAAGAACGTATTGACTCCGTGTTTTTTGTTCGGTGGCAGAACATGACTTATTACAAGATGTCACATGTTGACCATCGTATCACCAGTGTGGAACAGCGAATTGCTAGTGATGTTCCCAGATTTTCTACGGAAATGAGTGAGCTTGTGCAAGAAAATTTGTCGGCTATTTTTGATGGTCTTTTATACACATGGCGGCTTTGCTCATATGCAAGCCCCAAGTATGCGTTTGGTGTCCTGGTAACCTTTCAAATGTTTTGACTTCGTTCACATATTCTTATTTTTGCGTCCTCCTACTATCACTGTCTTTTGAGTCTATGTTAAGAAGATTTGTTCTTTGAGACATTTTTTGTGTTCATACGTCATGTTACGTGGTATATCATTTAAAGTCCTCGCGTGTTTCTCATATGACTTATTTTTCTTGTTGAAAGAGAGTTTCTAGTTCTGAACTCAGATCTATGCTGCCTTTTTTCAGGGTTATGTAATAGGAGCTGGAGTTACCATCCAGGCGTTGTCTCCTCCATTTGGAAGGCTCATGTCGACAGAACAACAATTAGAGGGCGAGTACCGCCAACTACATTCGCGGTTGCGGACCCATTCTGAGAGCATTGCGTTTTATGGAGGCCAAGACAGAGAAGCTTCTATCATCACTCAACGGTTCAGGTTGTCCCCTGCCTAGATTGTACTGATTTATGCTGCGCTCACCCTCTTGATATTTATGTGACTACGAGAATCTTTTATCTATGTGTGGACGCTTTGCTGTCAAATCACTGCGTTCATATGAGGAATACTCAAGATGTAAATAATTCAGTGAATTGACACGTCTGTGTGCATGGCAGGACCTTGGTTAGGCACTTGAGTAAAGTTCTACACACGCAGTGGTGGTTTGGCATGATTCAGGACTTCGTTCTCAAATATTTGGGTTCTACATTTGGTCTTGTCTTAATCATTGAGCCCTTCTTCTCAGGGAGCTTAAGACCCGATGGATCTACTCTTGGTCGAGCTCAAATGCTGAGTCTGATGCGTTATCATACAAGTGTTATAATATCTCTTTTTCAAGCCATGGGAACTTTGGCCTCCAATACCCGCAAGCTTGGTCGTCTTAGGTCTGATTTCACGAGCTTTTCCTTTTGTATTGATTTTAGCAAGGTTCTCAGAAGTAATTCCTGATTATTGAATCATTGGAAGAGCCTGCCTGTGAGTGGCTAGGATCTTAGGTTCAATAATGTGATATGGTATGAAGTGTTGGGAAAGAAGTTTAGGTCATAACCATTTGGTTCTATGTTTTTCTTACTGCAGTGGCTATGCTGATCGTATATATGAGCTCATGTCGGTTTCAAGGGAACTTCGCATTGCAGGTGGTAGTGAAACCATTCAGAACAAAGATTCTGGCAGTTACTTTATTGAGGCCCCTTACATTGAGTTTGAGGGGGTGAAGGTAGGTGCTGGGATGTCGATCTTCACTCTGTATTATTGCGACGTCTGTGGCAGTGGTCTCCAATAATCACCTGGCCTTGCTGTAGCCTGTAGTTATCCGCTTATCGAAATACGCCTAGTAGACTCTCTCGAGAGTTTCAGGCATAAGCTGAGCGGACTCAGGTGCTTGATTAGTGAAGGGCTGACCATTGGGTTCTTTTTGGGGATCTTGTAAAGCAAATATTTGGAGTCTGACTGCAGTCGCGTGTGCAGGTGGTCACTCCAACAGGGAATACACTTGTTGAGAAGCTCACTTTGAAAGTCGAGCCAGGCTCCAATCTGCTCATAACTGGTATGATCTCACTCGTTGTTTTAGAGGCATCACTCTACGAATTTTCTGGTATTTTCTGGTGTGCTGTGCACACACAGTTCTACAGTCTGCTTACATACCCTCAACCTTTTGTTGAGGCATAAGTAGTTGATAGTAGTTGGCAATTTGTAGTGGACTTTTCTTAGGTAGTCGTTAAGTGTATCCGCTCCCGATGGTATCAATTTCCAATGATTTTTCGCGTTTAGATTTCATGTTTACAGCTGTCATGGCTGTGTTACAGGTCCAAATGGAAGTGGAAAAAGCAGTCTGTTCCGAGTTCTAGGTGGGCTGTGGCCCTTAGTGGAGGGGCGCATTGCAAAACCAGGCATGGGTTCTGCATTAAGTCATGAGATCTTCTACGTGCCACAACGTCCGTATACATCAGTAGGGACATTGCGTGATCAGCTCATTTACCCCCTGACTTCAGCAGAAGAAACTCAACCCCTTACAGCTGAGGGTATGCGTGAGTTGTTGAGGAATGTGAGTAGCTTTCTTTTCCTTTTTCTTTTTCTTTTGGCTAGAATTTGTGATGTCACTAATTACAAGGAAATCCCATTGGTCAAAGATGGACATCGAGTATCGTTCAACATTCTAAACACCATCGATGTGAATTTGTTCTTTTATATTTTTTATTTTTTTGGGGGGGTCCCCTTTCTAATACAATGTTGGTATTTGTTTAGTCATGATTATTTTACTTAGAAAAGGTAGATTGGAGTACTCATTCGATGTTTTTTGTGACGAACTAGGTCGACTTGGAATATTTGCTTGATCGATATCCGCAATCCCAAGAGGTCATTTGGGGCGATGAGCTTTCTCTTGGTGAGCAACAGCGCCTGGGAATGGCTCGTCTGTTTTACCATCGGCCTTTGTTTGCAATCTTAGATGAATGTACCAGTGCTGTTACTACGGACATGGAAGAAAGGTTCTGTGCCCAAGTACGGGCTATGGGAACGTCTTGTGTGACCATCTCTCATCGGCCTGCTCTGGTAGCCTTCCACGATACTGTTCTGTCACTTGACGGAGAGGGAGGTTGGACCGTTCATTACAAATTGTAAGTCATTTTTTTCTTGAATCGTCTTTAACGATCAGAGTATTTGACGAGCAAAGAGGACAATTCGCATCCTAAGTGCTGCAGAAGTAGTCAAACCATGCAGTGAAACTTGTGCGAACAACTGTATGGCAAAGCATGGCACTCTGCAGGTCTAAGCTATGGTCTAATTGGTTTGTTGTACACAGAAATTCAGTCACTCAACCGCCTGTAGGGCTTCGCGATGAAGACAACATGCAGAATGGTGAATTGCATTCAGACCGCCAAAGTGATGCCTTAACTGTTCAGAAACAATTTTTCACAAATATTGGGCAGGTATATATGCACGTTGTATCAACCTGAAATTAGCAGCAGATAACATTTGACATTCATGATGCGGAATTCATGACCATGAAAATTGATAAAGCTCTCTGCATCAAATAATGTATGAAGGATGAGCAATGGGCTGTTGGTGTATGTGGTTGATTTTCAAACTGAAGTTGGAACTTGTGGCCTCTCTTTTCTCTTAGGATGGACCAGGTCAAGATTCAACTGCTGGCGACTCTTATGTTGGTGCTGTTCTAGCAACTTCCCCACCTCGTGATCCTTTTGAAGTAGTTCCTGCTATATCTGGGCTGCAGATTCAGCCGCGCAACACGCCTTCTCGGATTTCTTCTCTCTTCAAGATCTTGGTTTGCTCCTCAAACAAGTTTTATGATCCATTATTTGTTTGTTTGCTTGTTTTTAACTTGCCGGAATTTTTTTTTCTATACACTTCACCAGTTTGTATATATACTACGCAGTTCTGTACTACTCCACATATTATTCTTTCAGTATAAGTTTTTATGCTAGTCAACATTTATTTGCATGGTGGTTTTGACAGGTGCCTACGTTATCTGATAAACAAGGCGGCCAGTTGTTAGCAGTTGCCCTCCTTGTGCTTGGCCGGACATGGATTTCTGACCGAATTGCTGATCTGAACGGTGCCTCTCTTGTGCCCTGGCGTTTGTATTCAAGCCTCTTCTGCTTAGAGATATCTTTTCCGTTTTGTGTTTCGTACATTGTGAGTAAATTAAATGATTCTTCAGGTGCAGTTATTACTGATTCTTTGTTTCCAATTTAAAACCTAGTGAGCATGTGTTGCCTTCTTAGTCAGCATGTTTTTATTTTCGAGTTGGGAACCTGCGTTTAGATCTGATGGTGCGTCTCCGAATGGTTTTGTTACAGGGACGAGTGTGAAACATGTCTTGCAACAAGATAAAGCTGCTTTCGTTCGCCTTGTGGGAGTTAGCATACTGCAGAGTGCTGTATCCGCATTTCTTGCTCCATCCCTTAGGTTTCCATCTTTCTTTTTGTGCTGACCATTCCGATCTTTTATTCTATTTATTAAAGTCATTCTAAAATGTTGAGTTGGGGTTTCTCTTATGGGACATTACCACAACTGCTCAATTTTTGAGTAGTCGTCTGAATGCTGTCTCCAAGTTCAGAGAGACTCTCTCTTAGATAGTCTGGACTTTGTCCTAGACTTCCTTCACGTATCATATGGTCTTGCATGAGCACAGGCTTCAGTCAATGCAACATCTCTCTCGGTTGCTCACTTTGCTTGTGTCACAATCTAGTGCTTAAGATTCAAGAAGAATAAATTATTCTATCTCCCTCATGGTCTGTTTTCTTTTCTGTGAAGTATTCATGCAAAATTTGTCTGTTTTCTAACATATATTTTTGATGTCCTCAGGCATATGACGGCAACGTTGGCTTTAGGCTGGAGGCTTCGTTTGACTACACATCTCTCTAATCTCTATTTCAAGAATTATGGATTTTACAAGGTGACCAACTTTACACAATATTTGTTTCCTGTTTCAATTCCGAGTGTTGTCTTGCTCATTGGAGGCTTAGTTTCACAAGAAATTGGTGCAAGCTAGGTTACTTATATAACCGTAGACTGATCAATGTCAGCTGGTTGCCTCTGAGATTGCAGCAAAGTAACTGGGTTAGAATGGGATGCAGTCGACCTCTAAGCTTTGAAAAAACTTATTTGAAATACTGCGTTACCATATAACTTATTCTATGACTCAATATTTCACCACGATCATTTGTGTAGCGCATTAAATAGTGAGGCCTTGGTCTGCACGAGATGCCTCAGTATTTGTCTAATTTTTGATCGCTTCAAACTTTGAGTTGCTGTAGGCTATGCATCTAGCAAAAAGTGGAACTAATGATGCCGACCAGCGAATTACACAAGATATAGAGAAGTTGAGTGGTGATTTGTCAGGATTGGTGACGGGGATGATCAAACCTTTTGTTGATATTCTGTGGTGGGTTTCAAGAAAATAATCCTTTTTTTACAATTTTCTTTTTTTAGCAGAACTTATTGTTTCATTACAAATAGGAATTAAATCACAAGTCATGAATAGAAACACTAGGGTTGATTATTCCTTCTACTTTTGAGCAGTGGAAAGTTAATTTTTATGGAATTGGTGCAGGTTCACATACAGAATGAAAGTGTTGACCGGTATCAGGGGAGTTGGATTTTTATATGCTTACATGTTTTTAGGACTTGGGTTCCTGCGTGCTATTACACCAGACTTTGGTGCTTTGACAAGTAAAGAACAGCAGCTGGACGGCTCCTTCCGGTCAGTTCCTTCCTTCACGATAATAATAGAAATTGTTGGACAGAACTGGAGTGAGTGGTTATATAATGAAATGCTTCTTAAGTTGAGATATTTCGATTTCGAAGTGAACTTTATGAAAGTAAGCACTCAGATAAAGTACTGGTAGATGGAAAGGGCAACTTGAATAATAAACCGCAGTTCTCTTACACTCATTTGACTTAGAATATATCAAGATATAAATGACCAGGTTGATCATGACCTTGAATTGTTCCTCTCTTGCAGATATATACACTCCAGGCTAAGAACTCATGCAGAGTCTATAGCTTTCTTTGGGGGTGGTTCTCGTGAACAAGCTGTAAGTTCTGAGAATCATTGAGACTGGGTGTCCTCTACTAATAAGTTCAAATCTTATCGTACGCTCGTGAAATGAAACCTCATGACTGCATTACCCTTAAGAACGATTGCTGGTTTTACGTGAATTTGTTTCGTGTTGCAACATGCACTATGTAGATTGGAGCATGCGTATTTACATTGCTATTTATATTTTTACTTTTTCTAGGTAACGGCTGGGCGTTTTAAGGCCTTGCTTTCACACTCTCAAGATCTGCTCCGAAAGAGATGGATATTCGGTATTGCAGATGATTTCATCACGAAACAGTTGCCGCACAATGTCACGTGGGGATTAAGCTTGATGTATGCTCTGGAGCACAAAGGAAATCGTGCACTTACCTCTGTTCAAGGTAAGCAACACGTATAAAGCGCGTGTGATCATTCCGTTGCATATTTTAGATATTGAAGAAGTTGCTTGAATATTTCATGTTTCTTGTTATTGAGACACGAATTTTCCATGAAAAATCAAAAACATTCACTTCCCTGTCTATCCAGGATATCAAATCAATTGTACCTAGTGCTCTGTTGTCTGAGTAGCATTTGCATTACAATATTTGGTATATGCAAATAATGCCAGTCATAAGATTGGAAGTATACTTTGGGTTTGAGTCGCATCTGAAAGTTGTAATATTGGTGGTTTTTTATGTCAGTTTCTTACGTCGATAGATTCAGACATGTGTACGTTGTACATCAAAAGGGATTCATTCTGCAACCTAATACAACTCTGATGTTGTGCAGGTGAGCTCGCACATGACCTGCGATTCCTGGCATCTGTGGTCTCACAGAGTTTTCTCGCGTTTGGAGATATACTGGAACTGTATCGCAAGTTTTTGGAACTCTCTGGAGGCATTACTCGGGTTTCTGAGTTGAACGAATTGCTCATTGCTGCTCAAAATGGTGAGAATTTGACGCAAACTAAGAGTATCTGTGCTTTTTAACAACAATATGGTTGTCTTTGGTCCATGATATCCAAGAGGGAACTGTCGCATCTTCCTTGTGTTGAACTTGGTGGTTAATGATGCGTTTGTGAGTTTATAATCTCCAATTCACCTAGTGTGTGTTGTTGAGAATTTCTCGTGGATTTTAAAATCAAATGAGAAACTCAAATGTCATGCTTTGAAGTGTTTTATACGTCTGTTCATTTGCAGTTTTTCCAGCATTGTCCTGAAGTGATGAAGCTTATGAAAAGCTATAGTCTGGTCAATCTATTCTCTTTTATTGAACATGTCATCTGTATGGTTGAGGCTGTCGTATTCATACCGCAAATTTATGTAGATTCTTATAACGCAAGTTGTGTTACTGTGTTTTTGTTCTATGAGGATCTTAATTGATAGTTACGATACCACTCAACCTTCGATTAAGTAATACTACTGACTTTTCATCTGTTGTGCAATTACTATTGAGCAGGTACGGGCGCTGCTCAGTCAAAACCAAATTCTCTATTATTGACTGGAGAAGGACAATCATCGGAGGTTAATCAAGATATTGTATTCGAGGATGTGGATATTGTGACACCAGGACAAAAAATATTGGCTCGCAAATTGTCCATGAGGGTTCCTGCTGGCAAGAGCTTGCTTGTAACAGGTGAATGCAACTGGCCTGTTAAAAGATATCGTTAATTAGTGGATTCACTATGAAATCACATTCGTCTCTGGGCTGTTGCGTAAATAAAGATGCAGTGTCGTGTTGCATCCTGCGTTTTGTTATATTGATGTGTCTTTGTTCTTTGTTTTTCCTTGAATGGCAGGTCCCAATGGCAGTGGTAAATCGTCCCTTTTCCGGGTCTTGGGAGGTTTGTGGCCAGCAGCGAGTGGGCATATTGCCAAGCCTGGTCAGCTTGTTTTAGGAAGTGACATTGGCTCTCAAGCGAGTACTGGGTTCAGTCGAGACATCTTCTACGTCCCTCAACGTCCTTACACTGCACTTGGAACCCTTCGAGACCAAATTATTTACCCATTGACATTAGGAGATGCAAAATTGAAAGCCCAATTTGAATATCAGCAAGGTGAGTAGAGCGCGGTCAAAGAAGTACTTCGTGAGATTTTAGTTCTTTATATGGTCTACAATCTATTTACTTAATCGTTATATGTTTGCTTTGATAGTCTACCAAAGCTTAATTCCAGACAATCAGTTACTGACTGTCAATTCGGCAATCCTCGCGGACTTTTGTATGACACATTATGCAGTAGGTTCAAAAATTGGTAACGTACTCGCGACGGGTTCATCAGATCACTCTTTAGAGATACTTGACAGTCGATTACGAACAATCTTGGAGGATGTGAGGTTGGTTTACCTGCTGGACCGGGAAGGGGGATGGGATGCTACTGCCAATTGGGAGGACATGCTCTCGCTTGGAGAGCAGCAAAGGCTTGGAATGGTAAGTTCATGAACCGGAAATTGCGAGGTTTTGTGAGGATCGAAAACAGATCACGAGACTTCGAACTTTAAGACGTCTTTTTTGAAGATTTTTGAAGATTTACGTCTAAGGTTGATTTACAGTCATTCACTGATCATCTACCTTCAGCAAGGGTTCTTACTAATTAGTTGGCTGTCAACAGGCACGACTATTCTTCCATCATCCCAAGTTTGGAATTCTTGACGAGTGCACCAAGTAAATTCCATCATCCATTTTTCTATTTAATCACCACAAAATTACTTTTTGCATGGAAAAACATTATTGAATTCTGCGTATGTTTTCTCATGCGGTTCAGCAAACTTGCTTGGGAAGTTCGTGTGTCCGTGTATTTCCATTTTACCTCCAGAAATAAGTGTTCTCCAAGGGTCTGGTAATTGAATCAAGCCTAGAAATGTTCCTTAATGTGGCCTTTTCATGTTATGTGCAGTGCCACTAGCGTGGATGTGGAGGAAGGCTTGTATAAGAAAGCTCAGGCTCTAGGCATATCGGTTGTCACTATTTCTCAGGTTGTGCATTGGGATGGGTTACCAAATCATCTGCTTCACCTTCTTTCAAGATCGGCATCATGCGTTATATTGTTAAATAGTCGTATAATTCCGCTTCTGCTCTCATGCATTCAGTGCTTACTTTTCTGATCGCTCTCACTTGTCTTTGTTGTTGTAGCGACCTGCTTTGATTCCCTATCATGACATGGAGCTGCGACTGATCGATGGAGAAGGTGCATGGGAGCTCCGTTCAATAAAATACTCGAAGTAACACTAATGCTCCTCTTCATCGCCTTATTTCTTGGGAGTAAATGCACAACTATCATTCAGTTGAGTTCATCATAATGTTAGCCTTTTGCTGGTTTGGTACTCGTAGTATTGTCATAAACTACCGTTTCATGATGCTTTTGATACTACCGGTATTTCATCTCACATTCCTAGGTGATGGAAAAAGGTTATTTTAATTGGACTAATTGACATTGTTAGAATCTATTGAAGTCATAAATTACATTTTTTTGTAGTCTTACTACAGGTGTAAAACTAGATTGGAGTGGCACATAGTCTGCCCATTGCTTAGGTTTTCTTTGGAAATGAACGAGACGATCTACACCGTAGTGCTCACCCAACTATTCCTTGTTTGTCTACTCTTTTTCTTTTCCACAGTTATAGTCACTCCAAACTTGTGATGTAGCAACTTACTGTATAATTGAATGGTAAATTATCAACTGACTTCATTTAAGAAAAATGATAATCCACCATTCAATTGCTACCTGTTTTAGAGTGAGTATGAAATCTAAGATTTAAAAAGACATTGAAAGAAATAATCATGTCTCTGATTTATATTGTGTATTTGTATCATGTATCTATGGTGATGTTATGATCAAGTAGGATTTTCATTTTATATAGCAACATCAAAATAAATTACATCATGTGAGTGATAGTGCTATTAAAATTTTGTATTACAATGATAAATTAATTTTGAAAATCAAATCCAATATTAGTGAAATTTATTATACAAACAACTTTAAGTAGAATGGTCTAAAATAATAGCTATGTCCTATCTAAAACCTTAGCAATGTTTTAGAGAATTTGTAGGATAGGAGAAAGCTTTCAATTTATACATTGGATACAATAACTATATTGTCACTTAATGTACAAATATGTATTTGTAAATAGAGTTTATTTCCTCTCTCTTTCAATTTTTAAATATTGTATTTCATACCATAATAATCTCATAGTATAAAACTAAGTAAATTTAATACACATCATATTGTAAAATTATAAGAGATCAATACATTTATATATAAAACTTGCTAAAATTCATAGACTAGAGCTGGTTTTATGTAAATAAATAAATAATTAATTAATTGATCATCAATTGACTGCCAGACATATTGAGTATTGGTGCTAGAATAGCCTTAGGAATAAAATAATTATCCAAAAAACACATTCACATAACAAAGTGCTTTTGATTTAAATTTGTTATTTGATTGGTTAATTTGTAAAAAAAAAATCATGTGACCCATTTTAAACAAATAACAAAAAAATATATACATTAATTAAGCTTAAATTGGTTTTTATCTTCAAATTAAAAAAACAAAGTGAAAATAGAATTTTAGGAGAGAAATAAAATACAATAAAATAAAGTATCACAAACAATGTTATTTACAAAAACAAGTTGCAATTCAAATTGAGTTTTCACTTAGGGGATGGGGGGATTTTGGATGGGGATTAGGAGGTTGGAAACAAGAGACATGGAAGAAGAGGGGATGCTCGAAACAAGGGAACATAGGACTGGAAATGGAAGGAGTTGGAAAGGAGGGATAGGGGACAAAGAAGAAGGGAGGGGGGGGGGGTAGAAATGAGGGACAAGGGATATGGGACATGGAATGGAGTCTTAGGATGGATGGAACTAATCATGAGATGGCAAGGGGGAGGGATGGATATATATGAACCTGTATTATTTTGTAACCCTTGTTATTGATTTGAAACTCTTGAATCAGGGTTCTTTTTTAGAAAGGTTTTGCAGAAATTGAAAATCCTAAAATGAAAAATTATAAAACCACCATTGAATTCAATTACTCCAATGTATCATTACTTTTTTCCTTCTTTTTTTTATTTTATTTTTTTTTATGAATAATAATTTATCAACACTAAGATTTTTCATTTCACTAGTAGAATACTATATTCAAATTTCAATGTATTTGAAAGCTACATAATCAAATGAAGATTTTGTTTTAAACTGCATAGTTTATTGAGCATCTGTTTATGGTATAAAGCACTTAATATTACTTAAATTCAATAACTACTTGAAGTGATTACATGTTTCCCAATTATATCATTTGATGTAATAGCAACAAAATCAATAACTTCATCTAATTAAGATGGAATTTGACACTTTGTGTAAAAAAGAAAGAAGAATATAATAATTGTTCTTCTGAAACTAAAGTGAATGAATTATTGGATTTATTGTGAAAATATTCCATAAGTGATAGCAACATCTACCAACATAGCATAATTTAAATCATCTTTATGCTGCACACACTGTGTGAGATCTCTCTCTCTCTCTCTCTCTCTCTCTCTATATATATATATATACTGTGGATATAATATTTCTGTGTTAATATTACATGTAAACTTCACTTAATACTCTAGCTGATAAAAACACAAAACAAAACCTTTACTATTGAAAGGACTTGTTCGCGTGCTAATAAGTTGGTCACTTGTAGGAAATCCTCCCTTTCAAATACAACCAAAAAGTGTGACATGGTTGACAATAAATGAAAAAATTGGGAAGCAAAAAAAAAAAACAAACAAACAAACAAACAAACAAACAAACAAAAACAAAAACAACAAATGAACTATCTATTACTCTAAACTTGAGAGTGAGTTTCTCCACCTAAAACTAGTTTGTAGGGGGGTCAATGTAGAGAAAGGGACAGAAAGAGCAATCAAATTATTAGGGTTAGGGTTTTATGGGCAACAAAGACTAGGCACCACCATAGCCCCCAATGATAGCACATGGGGTGCAGGCTTAAAGAGACCCTGCCAATTGGGATTATGCTTATCAATAATGGAGTGAGTGAGTGAATCCCATGCCAATGAGCAAGTGAGCAAGAACCCAAGTGCCAATTTTATTTATTTATTTATTTATTTATTTATTTATTTGTTTGTTTGTTTGTTTGTTTGTTGGGAGCGTGGAGCTCTTGCACATTCCTCAACAACAAAACTCTGTCTCCATCACCATTGCCTCGTTTGCCTCCCCCATCCCCTTTTACTTTTATTGGTTTGTGGAACTTCCTTTGCACAAGGTTGTGTAGCAATCTGAAAAATGGAGAGAAAGTGAACGCTTAGCTATTTGGATGTGGGAAACCCTCACTTTGGCATTAGTGGGTTTTGTTTTGATGAGTTCCTTTTTGGGAGTATTTTCATGAGAAAAAGAGAATGTTACAGTTTGGTATGACATTTAATGGCACTTGTGTACTCTTGTTTTGCAGGTGTGTGTGTCTAGAAGTATATTGCCTTGAATCACATTGAACAATGAAAAAATAAATTAATAAATTAATAGAATTTAAAAATAATAATAATAATCTTTGTGTACCATCAAAATTGTGCACTAAGAACTTATGGAGTTGTGTGTGAATGAAGAGACTTGTGCAAGTGGCACAATATTACTTTCAACATTATGCACATCTCATATATATATATATATATATATATACAGACACTACAACTGTATCATATAGTTACTTTCTTTGAATCGTGTTTCTTTTTGGGGTCAAAAGTCACATATTTAGATTCTTCATACAAAATTGTGGAGGTGGCAGACTCTAAGCAGACAAAATACATTTGATTAGTTAATATAGAAATCAATAGTAAACACTATTTATGCCGAAAAATAAGTTTGTTGAGAATTGGATTCCTGGAGAGTGTTCATACCATAAATTTGGTACAGCTGGACATTGGGTCAGCTAATAATACAAAGTCAAATCCTGCCATGTGTGCATGTAGATTTCTTCCTTGTCTGTATAAACTTAACAGGTCAACAGTTTTAATATATATATATATATATATATATGTATAAAGAAATGTATACACGTTGCATGTTAGAACAACAACGGAAGTAGCAAACAGAGGAACAGAAAAAAAAAAAAAAAAAAAAAAAAAATTAACCTTAAGTGCGAGGAAGGTAGAAGAAAAAGTTGAGATTCTTAAAGTATTGATCCTATCTATATATATATATATATATATATAATACAGTAGGCCTGAACTTCAAAGATAGAAAATCCTGACTAGATGTAAGAAGAACAAGCTCGAAAACAAGATCGTGTGAGCCGGAGCTTGACAGTGCATGTTAGGCTGTGTCGGAAAGGAAGATGGAACACTGCAGGAATCCAGAGCAAGAATCCACCAGCATGGTGGCGACTCAGTTCCGACTACAGCAAGACAAGTCGCTGCTCTCAAGTGTTCCTATGCCTCGAACGCTGTGTGTACGTTCTACATCGATCAGTTGCATTCAGGATGAATCAGCGGTAATAAAACAACAACGCCTTCTAACACCTGTGTAACAGCTGTTCGATTCATGGTCAACTTATCTTTGTTGCACATGCGGTGAACTCAGAGCGAAATGTGGATTTCCAGACCTCGAAATCCTCATGCACCAATTCCAAAATAACTCGTGAGAAGAAAAACGCGCGCACACACACACACACAGTTTACTTACGGCAACGAAGTCAAGTTTAGAAGGACGGACGAGGAATCTATTTCTTTTATGTAGACTACTCGTCACAATACTTTTCAAATATGGTTGGATGACAACTTCCATCACCTTGTAACTGATTTACCTGATGAAAAAAACAAAAACAAAAAACAAAAAACAAATGGAAGCACTCTTATTCATGAATTAATTTGATTGCTTTTGGAAGCATCTCTACAATTCTCACGAGATTCAACGGAGAATCGCGACGAGCTCACAACACGGCACCAAAGATTGGCGCGGCTCCCCAGGTGTGAAAGGAATTCAGTACCGAATGATGCAGTCCAACATTCCTCCAGTACCAAGCTCCGCCTCGTCTCGTCTTTCAAGGCGGGAGTTTACCTTTCAGGCACCGGAATGATTGAGAGCGTTACTCAAGCGTCTGCAGAAATCTCAGTCGCTGTGGTGAAAGTCCGAAACCTCATCCAACCTATCCAGCCGCCCGGACCTGGTCCAATTGTGGCGCCTGTGCACCGCAATCCCTACGTCCTGGCACCGTGGATCATTGGAAGCCCCCAGCGCGACCGCAGCATGTGGTCATGATCAAGCTTGCAGCACTGAACCCATTCACTCTGTCATTGAAAGGGCAGCAGCAGCAACAGCAGGGCAGGGTCAGCCAAAGACTTTCCAACCCCCTTCCCTCCCTCCCTCTCTCCCTCCCTCCCTTGGTCGCGCCGTTCAATTCACTTCCCCCTCGCTTCACTTCACTTTACTTCACTTCACTTCGCATCGCTTTGCCTTGGCATCGCATCGCCGCGCCTGACGCTGCAATTGTGTGTGTGTGTGTGTGTGTGTGTGTGTCAGGTGTGAGGTTGGGCCTCCTCGTCGTCGTCGTCGTCGTCGTCGAAATCTCTTTGGCTGTGTGTTGTTGTTGTTGCTGCTGCCAGATTTCCCATCGTCGTCGTCGTCGTCGTCAGACCTTCTGTGTCTGTCTCCGCTCCATGTGCCTCCCCTCCTGTCGCCGAATTC